ATCCGGGTTTAACCCCTCAGATCCAAAGGTGGTTCCATACAGCTGCGTGGCCGGGATCACGGGGGGTCTCAACGTCCTGGCTGTTCACCTCCGACGCGACTTGGATGAAGTGGGCCACCTCCTCTCCAACTGCAGCCACCAGCTGCCCCCACAGGATTTGTCCGTTCTGCCACCGCAGGTAGTAAGGTCTGATGTCTGCGTCGTTGGTATTGAGGGTCCTCCGCTTTGTTCCCCGCTCAGACCTCGCCCGTTCCTCGACAAAGTAGGCCTCCTCCGCTTCCGCGATCCTCTTCTTGGCACTCTCTGGCTCCTGGGGTTGTCCGCGGTAGGCATACTCTGTCTCCGATTCCGTGCTCGTAGCCAGCTGGAGGCTGACCGGCTTGTCATCTTCGAGGGGCACTGCAAGCTGGTGCCTGTCTTGGCCCGAGTGGACCGTAACGACCAGCTGCCGCCTCGTTTTTGTCTTGACACTCCATCCCATTCTGGCCAGGACAGCCGCTCGGTCTTCCCACTGGCTCTCGCGGGCGGCTTGCATAGTGTGCCACTGGAAGAGTTCTTCATCTTCTTTCTGCTGCCTCTTCTCCTCTCCAGCTCGCTCCACTAACATTTGCACCTCATCCGCTCCAGGAGGCTCCATAGGGGGCTTCTCATGGGAGGACGATGCGCCGCTGCCTCTACGAGCTCCCTGTGGTGTCAGCTTGCCCACCCAAATCTCCACCCACTCCTCAGCTTGCCGATCACACAGGTTCACCTGAGGGGTCGCCCCCTTGCTCATTGAGTGGGCCACCAGCACTGCTTCAATCTGGTCCCACTCCTCTCCGGCTTCACTCCGCTGGCGGAGCCTCTGATGGAGCTGTCGGGCTGCTGCTTGGGCCTGGCTATCAGACATGCGCGCCAGCTCCGCATGGATAGATGCAGCTGGCACTGCCCTCGTGGTGCTAGCTAGTCCCGTGAGCGTCCTTTGCATCAGACAGGCTTCATCTTGCTCCCGACGTAGTTGCTCCAATATTGCATCCACTAGCTCCCTGGCCCACCGTTGTTGAGCAGGTGGCAGGTCACGCTCGGGCAGGGACCGGCGGGACCACTAAGAGGACAGTTTGCAGCCAGTCCCTGGCTCGGGCCTGGTCCTGAGGGTCCTGCAGGCACGCCCGGAGGTGGGCCCTGGTCAGGTCCACCATGTCATGTACTTGATCCCCCGCAGCCCATCGTTCCTCAAGTTGATTTCGCAGTCGCCATATACGTTCGGTAGCCGGCTGACTGTCAGTGCCCTTGCTAGCTTCAGCCACTGGTCTAGGCCCGACTTGCATCAGGGCAGGCTCATCATGGTCCACATCGATCTCCACTTCCACCTCTGACTCCTCTGCGTCCGCTTCGGGCTGGTCGGGCTCTGGTGGCCTGGTGGCTGCGCTGGTGCCTCCCTCATCTCTAGGACACTCTTCAGTGTCCACCGCCTCGCCCCCTTCGCCCTCCGGTGCTGTGTCGAGTCCTCGTTCGTGGCCAACTCTTGTCACTATGGCCTGGAGGTCGTTGTAGAGCAGCTCCACGAAGTTTGCGAGGGAAGCGGCCATGGTTGCGTATTCGGCCGGCGTCTTGTCCATGAGCGTCTCATAGACAGTGCTGTGCGCCGGTTCATTGATGAAACCCGGCATTCTCGTCGGTTCCTCATCTTCATAGTCCGAGTCAGTGTCCAGCCCCAGCATGGTTCTCCACAGGAAGGACGCCCCCAATTCGTCCAGCTCCTCCTGAGGCTCCTTCGCTTCCGCTTCGGCCGTGGGTCCAGGCCTATCGCTGCTTGTTGCGCCACCTTCCTGCACTCTCGGCCGGCGGCTTGCATCCCGGCTTGACCTTCTCTCCCACGGGGCAACCACTGCTCCAGTGGCTCTGGCCCCAGTGCTGTCACCAGGTGTTCCACAGCCCCCACTCGCTGGGCCAGGGCCTAGGACCCTTTTGGAGGTGGTGACGGTGACCCCTGGGCCTGACCTCCAGGCTGCTGGGTTGTCCACCAGCCTCCTCAAATGTTTGGAATCCTTCTTTTTCAGGAGGAATTTCTTCACCACCAGTGCCACATCTTCTGTGTCTGCTGCTCTGTCGCGGTGGTTCAAGAGCTTCCTGTCAATCGGGCGGGGTCCTCTGGAAGGGTCACGCCATCGTCTTTGCGGAGTTCTGCTCCTAGAGAGCCGAGCTTTGTAGGCCTCCTCTTCCTCGGCTTCATCTCTCATCTGGTCCCCATCTGCACTGCTTGCCAGGCTGAACTCATGGAAGTACCGCTCCAGGGACCAGTTGCGAGTGGCCACTGGGCACAGCATCTCCAGCCATTTTCTGCGGATAATGTTCTCCGCCCTTTCTGCCAGCTCCGCAAAATCTTCGTCATTGGCAGGCCCAAGTCTAGGTGGGAGGTGAGCTTCGCTTGCTTCGTCCCATCTCCTCCTCAGCCCGTCCACCCAGTTGGCAGTTTCTTGCACGTATCTCTCGTCTGCTCTGGCCTGTATCCGGGCTTCAATCATAGAGGCCATGGTCCACATAGATCGGCCATCCCTCTGCAATTCGAAGCCCTCTTCAGGCTCTGTTCCAATGGGCCAGGGCCTGTCGAAACTGTGCCCGGGCCCGACTAGAGCTCCTAATACCACGAGCGAGAGTTGGTGGAGGCCTGTGAAGTCATCGGCCACTTCCTGTGGCTGGGTCTGCTCGAGCCTCTCTTCACTGTTCCCCACAGCTGCAGGAGGTTCAGCCCTTCTTTCGATGTCCTTATCCAGAATCTTGTAGTGGGGCGGGATCAGGGTCTTGAGCACCCGCCGATCGCTGTCAGGTAGGGGCTGATCGTGTTCTCGGCGGCCCTCTCTATTCGTCTGCTGCGGGTCCTTCGGGGAGATCGTGTCGTCGGGGTGCTGCTGGGCCTCGAGCCTGCGGTCCTTCAACCTGCTTTCCTGGCCTGGGCGGCTATGGGCAGCGCAGAGCCGCACATCTTTTCCACTGTATTTGTTGTTCTTGATCAGGATCTTGTAATGGGGCTGGGTCAGGGCCTTGAGCACTCGCCGATCGCTGTCACGTAGGCGCTGATCGTGTTCTCGACGGTCCTCGGGCACCTTCGCCCGCCGTTCCTGTTCAAGGTCGGCAGCAGCAGAGGGCCTTGTTGCTTTTCTGTTAATTCCGCGGGTCTTGCTCAGGATCTTGTAGCGGAGCTGGGTCAGGGGCTTGTGCACCCGCCGATCGCCGTCAGGTAGCTGTCGGTCTTGTTCTCGATGAACCTTCGTCCGTGTCAGCAGGTACATGCCGGCCCACCCCGGTAGAGCGGGGTTATGTGCACAGCTCGGGTCTCCGAGGAGTGCTGCATACCGCCCCTCTTTTGGGCAGATCTTGTAATCGAGGAGGTCTGCGGGTGGTCGCTGGTCGTGGGCAGGTAGGACTGGGTCGAGCCCATCTCCTTCGAGGCGCCGCTGCATTTCTGTTAGGCATCTGGTGGGATCTTCACTCACAGTCGTCTTGCCAGCCACGAGGGCCAGCATCATCGCCACCAGCCATGCCCACATCGGGTTGCGAATTGTGCGGGGCTTACGATGAGCTCCACTCAACCGCCCGTCCTAGAGGCTAAGAGGCAAGGACACAGCCACCAACCAAAAGGGGCTGCGTCAATGGCAACAGGTCGGTCATAGTTGGGCCACAGCTCATTGTCAGTGGTCATCTGTCAGGTAGTCACATTGTACTGCCATGAAGGTACGAAAAAGCTGTCTGGAACACATACATGTAACTGCTCACAGCAAGAAAGGACATGACCTGCAAGTAGTTCGGGATTGAAGAGAATTGACGGTTACGGTCACCTTTGCGGGCGGGCTGGGGCCGTGACAAGTGGGTTGGCCAGGGGGGGGGGGGTCATCTGCAGGCTAGCCTCAGATTCACAGGTCCTGCCTCCTCCCTCCTCCTGCCATCTCTGCTTGCCCTGTGATTCCTACCCTGCCAGACTGAGTTGCCTCCCAGTGCACCACGCGATGTCGTTCTGCTGGACCCACTGGTCCTCCTTCTTCTTCCATTCCACCGGGTTGGACGCTACCGCCCTCCAGTCTGCCGACCCAGCGGCTCTATTGAGCCGGATTTCCTCATTGGAAAGGTGGGGGTAGAAGGACGCCGGGTGCCTCACTCCATCCCGGTTCGCCTGCTGACCACGCCACCACTTCAAAGTGCGGTACTCATCCATAACTGAGCTGGCTGGGGGCTGGTCCCTTGTGGCAGCCCTTACTACGTGCCCTCGGTACTGCCAATGTCTCCTGAGCCACGTTGTGCTCCATCGCTCCATGCCTGCGTTGTTCAGGACTTGGCGGGCAGCCCGCAGACTGCGCATACGGAAGTCTAGCCAGCTTTCCTCCGACCTCCTCTTGTGTCCTAACATTCGTGCTACAAGCTCGAGTTGCATGGTGTTCAGGGCTCCCATCGCTTGAAAGTTGGGCGGGGCCGCCGACGCATACCACAGTGCCGCTCCTCCAATTGCCGATCTAAACACCTGAAGGCGCTTCTTGATGGGGCCTCGGCATTCCAAGACGTCCCTGCTAGCAAAATATTTCTTCCTTGCCTTCGCCATCCCAGTGTCCATCACCGCTGCCGGCTTGAAGGGCACCGAAAACTTTACTCCCATCACCTCTAAGGTCTCCGATGATGGGACTAGCAGATCGTCCAGCCGGATGCTCGGCGAGCTTGTGGAGTATGGCGAGCTATAGAACACCGTCTTCTTCGGGTTGACCGTCAAACCCCATGTTCGCAGTTCCCTGCTAAGGATGACATACTTCCTTTCGAGGGACTCTCGGCACGTGTCCCACAAGATGCTGTCATCCATGTACAGCAGCGATGAGAGCAGAAGGTCTGGAGCCCCTCCCATGATTTTCGGCCACTCTTCTGAGGCTTGGGCTCTATGCAGGGCGCACTCCATTGCCACAGCAAAAATGAAGGGGCTCTCAACGGAGCCCTGCCTGATCCCTCTAGTTTGGACCACCTGAGCCGGGCCCCATGGTGTTCTAAGCTGCGCCTTCCCGGGCTCCAAGAGCTGCTTCCACGCCTCGAACTCCCTCCACATGTCGGGGGGGGAGGTTATCCCTCAGGTACTCAAGGACCTTCCACCTGTGAATGGAGTCGTAGGCTTTGTTGATATCGAGCTTGAGCCAGCTCAGTCCAAATCGCCACTCAGTTTCCAAGGCAAAAGTTTTCATCACTGTGAAAAGGTAATCTGAGGTCTGCCTTCCTCCCAGAGCACACTGCTCCGGGCCTCGGGGAAGGAGGGCCCTTCTTGTTCGACTCAACAACAGTCCTCCATACACTTTGCCAACCGCCGAGCTGAGGCTGATCGGTCGGAGGTCTGACGGCGACTCTGGCTTGGTCTTTTTGGGTAGTAGCGTGATTATGGTGGTCAGCCACGCTTCCGGAATTGTGGCCCCCACACGGACCGACTCCATCCACATCAGGAGCGACTGTTCCGATGTAGGGTCCTTGCACAATTCTTTGAGCAGCTCGTAGGACGTGAGGTCCAGCCCCACCGCTTTTCCAGTCCTGCCCTTCCTCACTACTTCCCGCAACTCTTCCACACTGAAGGGAGCGCCATTACTATGGCCTTGTTCCCACTGAACCGAGACATTATCTGCACTTGCAGCCTTGAAGAGGTCAGAAAAATGCTTGGTGGTCCACCGGAGGGGATCTTTGTTCTGAGCATAGGCTTCCTCTGTGAGGTGCACTGCCCATTCTGCCCCGGCGGTGTCCTTCAGCTCTTTCATGTCTTTCCAGCTCCCTTGGCTTGCTCGATGGACCTTGGCCTGGAGCCACTCATCCCGGGCTTTCCTGCGAGCTTGTTGTGCACTCTTCCACGCCTGCTCGGTACCAAGCAGCCTGGCTGTCCGAAAGGCGCTCTTCACCTCCGCGGGGTCCCTGTATCGCTGCCCTTTACGCGGCTGTGTGAAAGCCTCTGCCAGCTGCTGAATGCGGGTTTGATTGAGGCAAAGCTGTACGGGGATCTCACCTATCACGGCCCGGGGTTTGGTGGTACTCTGGTGGTCAGGGGGCGGTCGGGGGCCTAGGTTCATGGTGGCATGCACTCTGTCATGGTCTCCCCCGATCTCCTTGTATGATCCTTCAGCGATGTGTACTTCTGCCCGTCTGGTCCCGCAAGAGGCCACTCCATCTATTTGCCTGCCTCTCACCCCTCTCCGTCTTGGGCGGCTCGTGGGAGTGTCCCACTGTGCAGCCCCCGGAGGGTGCATGTGGTACCGCCTGCGTTCAAGTTCAGATTGCAGGTAGTCCGCTCTGCCTGTCGTGGGCATGATCTGACCTCTCTCTCCAGCTGCTCTGGTCCACTTCAGCTGGGTATTGAAGTCAGCTAGTATGACACTCGGCAGTGCAGTGGGGGGCCGCAGTGACAACACATCGTGTGCTTCTTCTGCTGTTTGAGCATCCGATACTCCAGTGCTCATTCGAGCGGAGCACACCCAGAACTGTGAGCCAGTGCTGATTTGCCTAAGGCGAGCCCACACTCCCACACTGTTGGCCTTCCTGCGGAGGCAGGTGTACTCGGTCGGGGAGAACATGATGCCGTTCCCTCGCCATTGGTCTTCCTCCCTGTACTGGATCAGCGTCTTGTTCTCATGCTTCGTGGTGTGCCACCCCGGTGCAAGTCGAGGTAACTCCTGGAAGGCAAAATTGCCCGCTTCTCCTCTGCCACTCTACTGTATTTTATGGCCGCGACAGCCGTTTCGACCGTCTTGCCACCGATGTTCCAAGACACAAAGGCAACTTCACCCCCCTCCGGGGCTGCTTTCCGGGCGAACAGTCTCACGTGCACAGCTCCGGGGTTCTGCAGGGCGGCAGCTCTGTCGGCTATGTTGCGACCCTCGCTCTATCTGGCGAGTGGGCCCCACCACCCCCGGAACTAAAGCTATACATTCCTTCTCGAATTCGACATATCCGTCCTGCTCGTGTCACTCTGAGATAAGGCTCTCCCAGCGCTCAGCAAGCCCATCCCCCGCCACACCAAGTGCTCTCGAGATCTGCCCGATGTCGATCCATGCGCCAGGGGCCCTTCCTTTGTGCGTCTCTGCTCCTTTTGGCGAGGGCCTGGTGGCGCTTGAGATAAGTTGCCCTCGCATCCACACAGAGCCTGCTCCCCATTCGACATCCATGGCGTGCTTCTCCGATGGGTTCGTTTCCAAGATCAGCCGCTTTGTTTTTCCAGCATGACCCGCTCGAAGTCGCTCCATTTTGGTTTTACTGATCGCTGCCCAGAGGGTCTTCCCCACTGGCATAGACTTCGATGCCATCGATGCACTCCTGATCTCCTGCACGAGGCGGATAAGCCCTCTCTTCAGCTCTTGTTCTCCTTGCCCCGCTGGCCACTTCACGATCCCCATTGCGTGGCCCCGACGAGGGCCTGTAGTGAAGATGTCTTGGAATCTTTCGAGGACCCCAATCCTGGTCAACATCTCCCGCAGCTCTGGCAGCAAGTCATCGCGATGCGTGTCTGCATCCCACCCACCCAGGATGACCAAGTTCTTCTGATGCCCCTCGGCCGCATTGGAGCCTATGTAGGTAGTGCTTCCTTCATCTCTCCGGGCCTCCAATGCGAGGACCCTCGCTTCCAGCTTCTCCCCCTGGTCGCGCAACTGCGAGATGCAGTCAGCATGACGGGTCATCTCTGAGCGAATACCACGGAACTCTTGAAGGGTAGCCTCGCGCAACTCTGCCACGGCCCCGCGGATTTCGACAGCTTGGGTCCTAGCGATATTTTCACTTTGCTGCTGAAGCAGGGCCTGAAGATCACCAATGGTGATGGGCTCATTCCTATCCTTCCGACGGCCACTAGTCCCGGCATCTGTTCTGGCAAGCTTGGGACTGCTCGAGTGCGGCGGCTCTTCATCCGTATCCGGCACCGCAATCTCCGCCATCACTCGAGGGGGGGACACGGGAGGAGAGAGGAAGGGGGCCTCCGGACTTGAAGAGCCCTGAACCTTGAGCCTTCTTGTTTCAGCAGTTTTGCTAGTTAGACTATTGCCACTGTGACTGCAGCCTCACACGAATACTCATGGTACCGCAGGGTACTGTTGTCATGGCTACCCTAAACCCTAAACCGGCTACTGGTATGGATCAGATCGAGAGCCGAGAGCTTGCGGGGTCATCAGTACAATAACCATAAACCCTAAACCCCATAATCCTAAACCCTAAACCCCATAACCCTAAACCGTATAACCCTAAACCCTAAACCCCATAAACCCTGCTGTGGAGGCTACCAGAGCCTTGGCCGTGGCCGTGAGGCCTTCAGTCTCTAAGGCTTCGACTTCAGAAGGCAGGCGTCAACGATGAAACGGAGGGTAGGCGCTGCTCAAAATTTAGGGATTCCCCCCCCCCCCTTCACGACAAGAATCCCACGAACTCGCGATACCATCGGGGTTCTGAGACCTTGTACCTTGCCTGTCAGCGCTACTTATCCTCTGAACCCCTACGCAGGAAACTCCCTACACTCCAAGCCCCTCTTACCCTAAATCTCCTGAATACCCAAGGGGAGCTATCGAAAAAACAACCTTAAACCTGCAGCCCAAAACAACTATGGAACCTTTCTAGTAGCCCTTATTATTAGCCTAACACCTGGGTGCATGGCCAGCTTCAAGGGCAAAATCTTGCGTACGAAGGTGCTTCCATCCGTTGCCTCGCAGGGCGCATGGCGGCGGATTCTGTGATTCTGACTGCTACTTGTAGAGTTTCGGGGTACGGGATTTGGTGGGGTAGGATTCAGGTTTTCGCCAATCGCCAAGAATCATCGAACTTCTCCTGTGAGAGCATTCCTAAAACCACCAGCCTTAGCGGCTAGCTGCTGCAACAATCTCGAAGCCAAGCAGAGCACCCTCGGCTAAAAGTCCCAAGTATTGAGACACGTGTTATATTCCATCAACCGTAATCCACTCTGCTTTTGCTGAAGTATTCCAGTGAGTACACCGTGCACTGAAGACAACACGAATCCAATGCTGCTGTCGTTGCAATTGGTATTTGTCTTTCTGGGCAGATCTGGGCATGACGATCACTGACTTGCCATAGCAATCGCTGTAACTTCACTATAACTGCTCATGCTGGTCTTCTTCTTCATCTTATTGTAATCACGACGACAAAATCGGTGACGAGCACAGTGACATCGATGGTGCTGATGGTGCTGCTACAGATACTGATGTTTGCGACTGAAGCAACATTTTGCAATTGCCCTTGCTCTCGACCTGATCATTACTGACATAATGGTTGCCTTTCTACGTATTGAACTGCTGTTCTGCGATTATTTCGTCAATGGCAGGAAGCATCTCTATTGTCCGTGGTTGTTGGTCTTCCGGGCATAATGTTGTTGCTCGATCATACTGCTGCTGATGCTCCACACCCTGCATGCGGACCCTCAATGTCGACCTAAACTGAATCTAAGCGACCCACTGGCATGCGATAGACTTGCCTTCGTCGTGGGACCACTCGGTAGGACAATGTGCACATGCCGGAGCCCGGCCCTAGGCCGTGGACTTCTGGTTGGAGACAAGCAGATTCGGGCTGCCAGGCGTATAAGGGTTGTTGACCTTTCCGGGGTTCGGGGCTTAGGGGTTTTTGAGTTTCGGCTGGGTATGTCATCACAGTGCCTGGGCCTTTTAAGACGATTCGAGCAGGGACCCGGCTCCGTCGTTGCTCTTGCAGGTAAGATGCCCACTTGGAGGTTCATGGGTAGTTATAAGTGGGGTTATAAAGTAGGGTAACTATCCATATTAGGGGACTTATAACCCTACTTATAACTACCCATGAACCTCCAAGTAAGGCCCCAAATGCAAACGGCCCGGATCCTGACTTCTCACCGGTGACACTGCACAGACAATGCCTTCCCAGCCACGCTGAGCATAGGAGCCTCAAGAACTAGAACAGGGTTTTGGGGCCCATTATACCATAATGATAGTAAGCGACCCCCAAAACCCTGGCCCTGTTCTAAGCAGTACGGCCGCTGCATTAAGCCTACATCCGCTACTCCGAGAGAGCCTTGGGCCGTCCTTGCCCCTGCTCTTGCCAGGCTCTCCCATTCTCAGGGCCCGGCTTCAAGGAACCAGCCATTGCCTGGAGTACGGTTTATGAGAATAGCGTATCGTACATAAAAGTATATCATCGTGTACTATCGTATGATATGTGTACAATCTATGAGTTATAGTACATTATTCTCGTCAGTTCAGCAGAAAGGCTGGCCCAGCTGTGAGCTACGCCTACCTTTTGCGAGACAAGTGCTCGTGCAGGGCGAACCTATTCGGCTGCAAGCAGACAAGCCAGGCTCACCGAATGAAATTCTGGTTAGGACACCCGGAGACGAACAAAGCACTCAATCGGATGCCAAAAGTGCTGCTTACCAGGCAAACACACCTGATGCCCTTAACCCGGTTCGGTATACATCACCTCCGCTTGCTGGGCCTGCGTGTTGTTTGCTCCGACTTCCAACCTCAAGCAGAGTCTGCACACATATCGCTCGCGTGGAAGCGAGCTGCTTCAAGTGACCGCAGCCTCCCTTCTGCCTGACCTTGTCGGACACAATCACAAGTCTTCCTGTGCTGCAGCTCGGCTCTGGGTCCCCCGTCCCAAAGATAGGCATCATTCGCAGCGGGCCGTTTGCTGCTGCGAGGTACGGGGCCTGGCTTCTCAGGTTTCGGGTGCCCGATGCGGCTGGCCTTCAGCGCAGTCACGGGGCTCACCATGCATTATCGAGGATGTGCATTGTACTTACACTCCAATTGCTTTAGAGGCCACGGCCCGTAAATCACTCGCCATGTGATTCATCGACACAGCGTGCATCACAAGACTGCTGTCCGACCTGAAGCACTCTGGGGAAGTCGTCGAAGAACACAGAAAATAGCTGCCGGACGACCGCCTGCCCAGGTTGGCGGGGCACTGAGCTGAAGCAAAAATCGCACAACAGGAGGCAACTCTCTGTGTTTGAGCCTATGCGCTCGGCTAACCCCAGAGCAAACCGCTTCGCTCTTTGAAGCATTATTCTGCGGAGCCACTCTATCTGGGTTCTTATGCTATACCATATTACGCTGTATTAAATTGGAGTATGCTACATAATTTTGTATGATACTTTCATCTATTCTGTCCTATAGCCTATTCTTCTATCCTAGTCTACCAACCTACCATATATGACATCACATTGAACCCGTTGATTCTGGAGCCTCCAGGCTCGTGAATTTCGCTCCGCCCTCGTGGTGCGCCAGGAGGCCCTTCAGCCGCTGCTGCTGCGCCAGGGCCTACTTTGATGCCGGGGGTTTAGGGGTTTGGGTTCGGCATTGGGGTTTTTAGGGTTGGGGTTTAGGGTTCAAGGGTTCAAGGGTTTAGGGTTTCGGGTTTGGGGTTGCGGGGGTTTAGGGGTTTGGGTTTACGGGCTTCGAGTTTCGGCGTTGGGGTTTTAGGGTTGGGGGTTTCGGGCTTAAGGGTTCAAGGGTTTAGGGTTTCGGGTTTGGGGTTTGTGGTTGGGGATAATTTGGGGGACTCCTTCCTTGCGCTGTCATGCTCTGGCTTTGTATGGAAGGTTATGGGCAATGACTGTGACATGGGGATGTTTGGCTGTGCTTGCTCTCATGTTGCCGTCGGGTTTGGACGTCCTGCCGGCCGGGTACTTGCTGCACTGCTTTTCAACTGCATTTGCAATTCCTTTTACTACGGCTGCCGCCGCTACTTGCGATGCCGAGTTTTCTTGTCGGTCGCTACATTTGTTGGTTGGAGATCTTACCTCGAGATTCGGGTGTTGCAACCAACTGGGGTTGCTATGGTTCGCTGTGCCGCTTGATATTGGCATCTTGTTGATGTGTTGATTTGCATGTGCTACTTGACAGCGGTAACTGTAACTTGCTTGTTGTTCGTTCCAGGTTCAGGCTTGCCGGCTATGCTTGCTGCGAATGGCCGGACGCGAAGAAGCCCGTAAACCCCTATAGCTTCCGGATACAAACCTATTATTAAACCCTATAAACCTCGAAACACAACTTAAAACCCCATACAGCTCTTCTAAATCCATGATTGCAGAACCCGCCTCGGGATCCAAGCTGAGGAGCTCGGCTAGGCGAACTTTCTCCTTCTTGGCCCAGGAGAGTTCAGAAAAAAAACCACCGTGAAAAGGACTGTTCGGGATTTTGGGATTCGGGCCTTTCAAGCTTTTTAGGGGCTTTAAGGCCAGTATGGGCTTAGGCTTTCGGGGAATCATGGATTTAGGGTATCAGGAGCCGGACCGTTCTTCGAGTCAGTGGTACCTATCCATCCATGGGGGTATATGCTGACTTTCGTGGTCGAGGTCTGCTGGTACCTGTCACACCCAGGACCACGTTAGGCCCAGGATTGTCATGTCTGGTGCTGAGATAGCACGGTGAGAGATCACGGCGCGATGTAAACAGCAAAGCAGAGCAACCCAGATGAAGCGCAACCACCCCGCTGACATGAGCGCATTGCCGGCCTGAGGGCTTTGGGTTATCATGGAAACGGTGGAAACATTGGGTAGCTGTAGAGGTAGCCCTGCAGTGATGCAGACTGATACGAGTTGGCGCGACCAAAAACAGCGACAACTGCGTCAAAACACCGGACTTGCTTCCTGACGAAGGGCAGGCATGGCCTACAAAGGGCAAAGCTTTTCAAGTTCGCATCCATGGTGATGTAAGGGCTCCTTTGCAAGCATTCTGCTCCGAGCCTCGCGGAACGGCAGCATTACCGAAACGATGAAGGGCTTGCCGTTGACCTGAACTATAGGATCGATGCGACTTATAAGGACGCTGACAGAGGTACTAGTAATTAGTGGTAGTAGTAATCATCGTCATCGTCGTCGTCGTCNNNTAGTAGTAGTAGTAGTACTAGTACCGTCATACAAACCCAGAGAGCCTGAAAAGGACGATAACTAGGGTATAAGTAAAGATATAGGCTACATCATATAGCATGTTACAAGCAT